AGGGCCTCACCCAATGGGGCCTCACCCAATGGGGGCCTATTACTACCCACAAATTGGAGACTACCCACCCCCAAACACAGTTCAGATTTTTCATGTGGCCCCCTACAGAAATTAGTTGCCTACCCCTGGTGTAATCAATACATTGATCTTTCATTACCAGTGTTAATAATTCCATTGTCACTTTGAAAGTTCATCACCAACGCAATTGTCACACCCTGTTCCCTATCTCACTCTGTTCATCCCCTATGCTACTATGCAGATCATAGCCAGAATCTTACTGGTGCATGTGTAATGATTGTGTGACTTGCCACTGCTAATTGCAGCTGACAAGGTGATAGGGTGCATTTCAATCATGTGCCTAGTTGTGTGCCCAGCTGTACAACCAAGATGTTCGTCAGCACCCTGTCAAATTAGCTACGGCAAGTTACCCAAACCTTACACATCTACAGGATTCTTACCTGTGTATATAAACCTGTGGCCTAACTACAGTATTGTCTTCCATGTGTCTGAAGTAGTGGATTCTAATTCACGAAAGAGCAAGGTGAAATAAATCTGTTGGGATTTAAGATGCCTCAATATTTCTATCCTTCTCCGTTTTGTTTTGCTTGTAGAGAACCCACCCAAAAGTGAAAATGTGGGAATGGGTGGGATCCTGAAATGCCTTTAATTGCTGCCAGATATGGGATGGTTGTCCAAAGCCCCACTGGTTCACAGGAATATGCCTTGTACAGCATTGGTTTATCTTCACTGTTTTTTTACAGACAACTGAAAGCAACTTTGTCTGTGTTCCCAGCTATACTGGGAGATGCCAGAGATTGTTCCCAGACCTCTTGCATGTAAGATATAGCCTTCCCCAGAATGTGCTTAGAGGAGCTCCAGTGTTCTTCAGAAGTCTTTGGCACAACCCATTTTCCTGCACACTCATCTAGCTGTTGTTCCTGTCCTTTGCAGAGCTGTCAACAACAAACTTTGTTTTAAAAAACAAATTGCAATTTGCACCATCACCCAGGCCTACAATCAATTTTGGAGTATTCAAAGTACTATGGATACCAACAGACCTTTGAAGCCACACAATTATACACAAATGGGCTCAGCTCAGACATATCTTTGCATGGTAGAAGCAACAACCAAGACTACAAGAGGACCAACTCATACAGCATCCTGTATAGCATACTCGTACTCATCCTGCTTATACTTAAATAGTTTATAACTTCACCAATAGGAGGTCATGAAATCTTTATTAATAGCAGCTATGCTTGAGTTAACCAAATTCTTTAACACAGCAAAAAAGACACTTCTGAAACCTTGGTTTAGAAAGTAATGTTATTTTCAGCATTGCATTGCTAAGTAAATTTGCATTTATTTGCAACCATGAATCTCACAGTGCTATTTCAAAGACCGTAATGTGTTATTATAGCACTGAAAAATTAAATACATTATCATAAAGGAGCTTAAGGAAAAGGTCACACTAACATATTTTTCCAAAGGTAACTGTGACATTAAAATGATGCACAACAATCCCTACTTCAATGACAGTGTACATTTAGAAGCAATGGGGAAAGTAAATCTAGCCTTGACTTATCACCCATGTTGAGTTATGGTGGGAGAAATATGTAGACATTCCATATTGTGCTGCTGCTAACAAATGTAGAGTAGACTTGTCTATGTGCATAAGATGGAGAAAGAGATGAAAAGGAAAAACACATAGCTTTCTTTTTTTGCTACTTTTAATGAGTTTTGCCAACTACACTTGCTACTGTCAGGTTCTTTTTTCCCCTTCTCTTACCCATAAAAATCAACACAGTAAGGTTTGTCATTGGCATAAATAAGGTATTGTTCAGTTGTGCATCATTTGTAATTTCTGGGATCAAATATCTGGAGTATGCAGGGGAGCACAGAACTTAGAAATACATGGAAAAGTGCTGCCAGTCACAGGTGAATGTGAGAGAAGCTGTAATTAAGATGTGTAATAAAGTTAGACAAACACAAGATTTTGTAAAGAAAAAAATAAATAATGACACAATATTTTGGCTTGTATTTTCTTCAGCTAATCTGAATAAAATAGGGCTATATCCGTGGTGACAAGAGTATATGAAAACGAACAGAACTCTATCAGGTGTTGCTGCCTAAGTTCATACAACGAACTACTGTATAAGATACAGCAATGTTTGAATCAGAGCAACTGGAAAAGGCAGAAGCTGAAATGTCTTGCCATAGTAGTTCAGTTTTAATGATCTGTTCATCACTCTAAATGTATGTTTTAACTGATTAGCCACATTCTTATGGGATCCAGAATTTTGTGTATGTGTACAAACACACACATATATGGGGAATATATGAATCAATCAAAACACAAAAGGGCTACTTTGACTTCTCTGGTCCCAGCAGCACAAACCACTGCCATGCATGAATCACTGTTGAAACAAATTAATCATATCAATATTAAAATCCCATTAAATTCAGTAGGACTAAATTTCAAGTAAAGATGTTTAGAATCAGGTTGTTACCATCAGTGCCTCCAGTCAGTCCTGCAAGTATCTGATGAACTGAAAACAATAGAAAATTTTCATATAGATTTTTAAAAAGAAAGCTAGGGAAAAAGAATATATCTGCCAATATTTGGAATAGTCAATTTCATTCAGAATGAATTTGTTTTTAAATCATGTCTAACAAGAAAAGTATACATAGATGAATACAAGAGAAGAGATGTACACTTAAAACTCTATGTTCAATCTTCTCTTAATTGCGCTGTTGTTTTTATAAAGCTGGGGGGAAACACATGAACACACATATTCTAGTTTATCAAATTAGCTGCACCAGGGATAGGTGAAGTATATTTCACCCAGCTTCACTACAGTGCCAAAGCTTTTACTTACATAGATGCAAACTGCTACTCTTGCTCTCTTCATACTGTTTTTAAACATGGAATTTGGATATTTCCCAGACGTATGTACAGAAGTGTTTAAGGGCAGACATTAACCATCTTTTTGTTACCAAACGTTAAGTCCTTTTCTGCTGCGAACAGTGGTAGAAGAAAGGTATTTCGTGCAGCAATTGGGACATGTAGTTGTCCCTGAAGTAGGTTAATCTCCAAGGGTGCCTGGGGTAAATGCAGATGGGAAAAGCACTGGAACTCTCTACCATCAATCTTCCTGCATTAGCCATCCATCCTGACAGACGTTTATCAAGTACCTACATGGAACCCAATTATGTGTAACACAGAGACCATGATTAAGAAGTGAATATTGAATGTTCACACTAGGAATGGATGGCAAAGCGTTGGACATGCATCCAAAACTTGTAATGGAAACAAAGGCTTTCAATTTCACCCCACAAAAGCAATGTCCAACCTTCTACCAACATGGTCTCCAGTGTGGAGGGAAACAAGAGGATGCAATATATAGCCCCTGCCCACACACATAAATGAGACAACCGAATGACAAAATATCTTACTAGTTATTCATCACTTATACATCACTCAGGAGAGGAAAAAGGCAGTGATTAGGATGAAATCATATTCTTTGAATACTCTGGTAACAGAGATGCAATATTCCTTTATGAAGCCTGAGAGAGGAAACTGTGCCACCTAGGAGGCAGATTTGATCTGACAGTAAAGTCCTGCAAATGTAGCATAGTAATTTTCCCACCTCCCCACAACAAACAATGAATGGCATCCCTTCACATAGGGAAAGAAATGTAATGTGTTCTCAAAGATATCAGTATAATGATACCTGTTTCTTAAAACTTCAATTTCATGAGGGAAACAGTCCCCAAACCTTTCCTGATGGACTTGCGAGTCATGTACTGTGTCTCTGAAAAAGCCACAGAAAATTGTGATTCCTCCTGTTCACACAGTGCTATCCTGGGTGGTGTTTCTTGATGATGTAAGAGAGGAACCAGAAAATGACACATACATGATTTGAGAAGTGAGGAGACCACACAACCAAGGTAGCTACAGACATACAAATACCAGATGAATATGGTGAATCACTGTACGTGAAACACAGGTGATGAAAAGGTTGTTGTAAGAACTGCAGACATTATTAATGTAACGTTTTGTCTAGCACTGTTGTAGATTACAAAATGTTACATTTACATTTAACTCTGTTGGCAATCATGTTCTGAGTATCAAATATATATACTATATGCAGATAAGCATTTGTTCTTATGTACTTTTTTGACACCATGGCTGAATTCCTTTGCTTAGCATAGTAAGTTGCAACTAGAGTAGGCCCACTGAATTAATGGGACTTTCAGAAGGGTTGACTCACCAAGTCCCTACTGATTCAAAGGGCCTATTCTACTTGCAACTTACTACACTAAGCAAAGGGATTTTGGCCAATGACATAAATGAAACAAGTTAATTTACATTGTTTTACTGTAACAAGAATTTCTTCTGAACATGACTTTATATGCTGAAGTGTAAAATTTACCACATCCGAAAGAACACCCAAAAGTCACAATGTTGCAGGATTTGGTAAAATCTTACTACATTTAAAGAATATTCAGAAGAAGAAAAATGAAATTGATAGGTAAAAATTTCCATGTCAACTTATGATTTATTTATAGAGCTTATATTCCAATTCTCTCTTTTCTGTCAGAGTCCCAAAGCAGCTAAGCATAACAATATAAAACAATTACATTTAATCAATTTATGTAAAAAGCTAACACAACTACTAAAACAGATACAATAGCAGTATGGAAAGATACAAGCTGAAGAAACTGAGAATATTGCCAACACCATCATATCATTGATAATAAATCTACATATAAATAAAAAGGTGGCTTAGAAAAGAGCTGAAAATGTGGTTGAGAAAAGGCAGTTGATACATGTGTACATTTCTGCTTTCATAAGGATTTGCTCAGCAACACAAAGACATTCACTAGCAGCAGTTCTGTTTGTGAACAAACACATCAATTCACACCATTCTCTATTAACTAATACATATTTACAGGACTTTATTTTTAAAAAACACTTCAGAAACCAGTGCTTTGAACCATTCAAGTTTTCACAACAAAATTTATTAGAAGAATAGTGGTTCTGAAAAGTCTAGCATCCAGTGAAAACTACCATACACATTACAGCTGGGAATGTGTTTCCAAAATGACATGGCCAAAGAATACAACAGGGCTGTTAAACCCTTAACACATGCACAACAAGGGAATCAGAGCTTTTGACATACAATGCAAAAAAGAAAAGAAAAAAAGAGTGGACCACATGAATTAAAAATTTATAAGTACTTATCACATACATTAAGACACAGCTTATTAAGTCCAGTCAAAAAAATCAGATCTGCATTAAAAATTAAATGTAGTGCAATCAAACCAAAAACCTTAATTTTGTGATCATAAGTGCTCTACTACATAAAATGTTGATCATAGCAAGGAACGAAAAAAGTTCAAATCACACAGTACAAAAAAATCTGTAAATAAATACAAACTACAGTACAAGAGAAATATTAAATTATACAATTCCGTCAAACTGTAAACAGTATATTGAAATGAGGTCCATAGATTAAAAAGGGGGTTCCTGTTTTACGTTTCCATGACACTTGTACTTTTGGAGGTCTGTGAAAAATGCCATTTTTCTGTACTTTACATAAATATAACTTTCTGAAGTGTAAAACATCAAATAATAAAGCAAGGGCATTGCTGACACACAGTTACAACACAATTAATGCCAGCACATGCAGCAAGCTTTATTTTAACATGTTACACTCTTTTGTGATCAGCAAACAGACCCAACACTACAGGTGTAAAATGCCAACACATTCAGCATTAGTGCATGGCACAAGAGGTTAATCACCTGGAAGGGGTCATGTGAGAGTGATCATCTACTCTCACAATGCATGTGCTGCTGATGATTATTTGAAACGTTTACACTCTTGCCATAAAATACCAACTTTGGCAGAAGGGTTACTAATAAATTCAAGCCAATCTGGCCCATTGGCTTCCATCACAGTGGCCAGTGCACAGAATTCCTAAAGACATTGCATAACTAGAATGTAGAGGTCAGACATCCAAGGGCCAGTGCTCAAGTTTAGAAGTACCTGGGATGAAGGAGAAACCACAGCCATACTGAGAAGCTGCCTCTGCTTCATTTACAGAAGCAGCAAGGAATGTATTTGACATTAGCTGTGCTGGCTTGGTAGTGGCATTTTTAAATATATACGTTTAAGATTACATATATAATATATATGTATATAGCATAATACACATACTATATATAGAAATTTCTTACAATACATAATTATCAGGAACCCCCATGCGATCTTGCTCAGTAGTATTAACTGAATATACAGAATGCCACTACGTGTCTGAGGCACTGCGTGCTGGAGAGTAATATGCAGCTTTAAAATCGGTTTGGCTGAGTTATACCTGGATACCTGAACTGAGTTTAAATTGACATTCATCAAGGACGTGCTATTAGCACATCAAAAGAAAAGCAAAAACAAAATACAAGTCACTGCTAGGTTTAAGAATAGTGTATAAGTACCTGAATTGAGTGAGGGTAGTGTGTAAACTGTCCCTGAGGGTTTTCAAACAGTGTGTGTACAAGCTGAAATCCTAAGCACGTTAGTTTATAACTTACACTGCGGACTGATAAAATACCAACATTTGACAATTTAACAAGTGGAGGTTAGAAAGAGTTATGAGCAAAACACTCAAACATATTTATACATGTTTAAGCAGCAGTAAGCTGCTGTAAGCAAAAATCCCATGGATAGAACCACCAAATGGGACTCAAGAGAGGTTGCAGTCTGTAATCTGTTTTTTTCTGATGCTAGGGTATGTGACAGCCGCCACGTACCCTCTCTCAACAAGTTTCACCTGCTAATGCAGAACGCACCTAGTTTACAGACTAGCAATTCAAGATTAGATTTTAAATCAGACTTTCCTATTACATACTAAAATCCCTTAAGATCACTAATGCTGGTATACTAATCTAGTTAGTTTTTTTATTTTCCCCCTTCATTTAAGAAATATACTGTTCAACAACTTAAAACATTAAGATCCATTTTCAGTCATCTGATGTAAAAAGCTTGTCAGTAAATTTATATTAAAATTTACATGGTAAAAGGCTTGAATTTCAGCCAAAGATTCTAAATACTGCTCATTCCCTGAAGACGAAAGGGAGAGAGAGAATCCCTACCCATTCCCTAATGATATACTTTCAAACTGAGCACTACACAATGGTCTAAAACTACTCTTCATTTGGGAAACTTCATCTAGCCTCCCCCATTTAGATCCCAAATCTTCAAGCCCTGAAATGGTCTACTGAAATGTTTATTTTAAAGTATCAGATGCATACGCCCAGAAGCTGCCTGAACATTACAAAAAATGTATTTATGTATTCTTAAAGACAGATCAAAAGATTACCATCAAAAGAAATTATCTGACCTAAAACGGAATCAATCTTCTGTGAACTAAAATTTCTACAGTACCTTGGACTCTGAAGACCAGATAAAGTAAGACTTGAGCTGTAACAATAAAAGTGCTGAAGGTCCCTTTTCTGTGTTTGTCTTTTAATTATAAAAAGGTCAATCAAGCATGTTAATGGTCTGTGATTATTCTTGTACATTTTCCTATCAAGCCTATACAGTTCTGATGTATAGCACCAAATGTGAGGTACATGAGAAGCTGAAGAGTCATGTCTGTAGTTTTGGAGTGGAGGGGGAATATTTGAATCAGATTTTCATAAGCTACGTGACTCAGTAAAATTTTCTTCTCATGAATAACTCATAATGAGTATACTTTATCTACAATGAAGAAACTCAAATTTTCTTATAATTCAAAAACATACCAATAAAAATAATTTCTGTGATCAGGCTATTACTTTCTTGAGAATGTTACAAGGAAAGGACATTATCCAAGTACAGATAATTCTGGAGGACTGAATATGCTATTAATATACAAATTTGCCTAAATGAAATCCCAGTATCGTGCCAGGGGAAGATGCTGTAGTAGATAAGAGCTTCCTTCTGTGGTATCTTGAGTGTTATCTATGGATTATTTAGAAGGCTACAGAGTATCAGCAATGACTAAAAAGTTAAGTTATAAATACCTGTGACTTCTAATTCATCTGTCATTGTATAATTTTAAAATTTTGCAGGAAGTTTATTCGCTTTAGCAAATTTCAACTCATGAGTTGGTATCTGTGATATAATTACCAAAAATATACCTGAAATTCTACATTTCAAAGATACATTGCCAGAGGCCACATATCTCAAACTCCACACCTTTCCCTTGTCCAAGCCCTTGAAGATTACTTCATGCTCAGCCTTCCTCCCTGGCCAGCCTGCTACTCCTTTCCCACTTCTTCTCTGCCAATACAAGCTATGGTGTTAGAGAGCCTATATACCCTCTACTGTATAATCCACATTGCCTCTTCTGGTCCTAATACAAAGATGCAAGCTGTTGAGAGGATGAACAGAAAATAAGTCTCTTCTCTGTCTCTAGTGCATTAGAATCTCCACCACTGGCTGAACCAGTTTCTGTTCTATGTTTGCTACACAAGCCAGTGTGGCATACAGCATGGCAAAACAATTCAGCCATTAATATGCAAACTTTTCACTTATCACCACTCAGTAGTTTTGTTCCACTAAACAGGTAAAATCACAAAGTAACTCTGCAGAGCTAAAAAGCATTTCAATTACCACCTTTACTGTAAACTATTTATCATGGGTGAAGACTACAAGGAAAGTATGTTTGTGAAGGAGCTTGTGAGGATTCCTTCCAACTCCATTATTCTTCTATGATTTTAAACTGAAGCTTGAAAACAGTTGGTTAGACAAGCAACATATTGTAAGCCATCTGTAGAAAATGTAACTCACAGGCAGCAAGCAAGGTGAGATTAGTAAAAACATCTTTAGAAAAACCAGTTTCTGAAATTACAGTGTGGGAAAAAGTGATGCCTTATGCCCATCAAGGCACGGGCATCCTAGAACGTCCTACAAAAGACCTCATTTATGCACCTAAAACATAAGAATACAATTATTTTTGATATAATGTCTCTTTTGAAGGCTGCCTGAGTCCTTCAGGCAGTCTTGGCTAGCAGCTGAATTGCCCCACCAATGGACTGAAGGGGTCAGACTAAAATTACCATTTTAGATTTCTAGCAAAGTGCTTCCAAAAAGAAAGGGGAATGCTAAGTATTCTTCCTGAACCCACTGAAGTGCCATGTCTTTTTTGCCTCATAAATACTAAAATACCTAATTTAATCTTAAATTCATTAAATCCTGATGGTTTTGAATCACACAAAAAAGTCTGTTCCCCCCCTCACTTCTGGACTGTTAACTGGCTTACTGACATATTGATCATTCCATCCGATATCAGAGGCACCAGCCAATATGTATAGGAAAGCAAGGGCAGACTAGGGATTAATTCAAGAACAGAATCTTAAGTGGGTCTGAGGCAACTATTCTCACGTTATTTTAATAAACTAGTGAACTTCGAAGGACTTACTTAAAATGACAGCTTTCTAATACCAGATGTGCATCAGAAAATATTCAAAAAAACATTCAGACTAAACCTTTATTTTGGAGACAGAGCAGCAAGCAGTATTGAACAGTTCTGGAACCAGCCAGAAGCAAGGACATATTCTTGGTGCACAGGGCTACTGCATGAACAGAATTTTAAGTGCTTCTGGGGGAACTATTCTTCAACTAATTTAATAAACTGGTGAACTTGAAGGGGGGTTATTACAAAGCAAGGCCAAGAGCTCAAACCCTCTAACTTCCATTCCTGATAGCTATAGTGAAAAGGAAAAGGCCTAGGACACAGGAAATGAGGTTTCAGAATGGCTGACAGAGAGGTAATAGTCCATCACATCTCCAGAATTGTCAGGAAAGAACTTTTATATTTTACAAGTCCAAGTAAAAAAAACTGATACATATTCTACACACTGAGCTCTCTCCACAGAACTGTACAATAATTAACTCCACACTTGTACCCCTACAACACTAAGCCTTATTCTTCTGTATAACCTGCTGCAGCAAAAGGTCACCAAGCAACATTTATATTCCAGAACAATAGTGAACTTGATTTTAAACGTTACATACACACACTCTAACATTAGTCTTCTGGGCTGGGAGCAGAGGGAAAACTATCCTTCATGAGACCTCATCTGTAGAAGCCAAAGTTGCCACAAAAAATGTTCACAGTTTCTTTTTGTCATCCAGACACAAGCAACACCACCATAGATATGCCATAATTCTATCCAATTCTGGTTTTAGGTTTGATGCATGTGATCAAAATGCCTGGATGTTTCTCCTACAAACAACACTATCTCTGGAGCATTACATTTAGCTATGCCCTCCTAACATACCTCAAAAACAGCAGGGAAAACCAGGCCTAAAGCCTATCTCTTCCACATGTCAATATAAGTATCAATTTACTGGAAATAGGAGAAAACAAGGCTTCTCTTACAAAGACAGCAGCAAACCACATCTTTCCATATCCAACTATGGTCAGTTGGGGATTTTGGCCATGCAAACGTCTGGTTAGCAGAAAATTAAGCATGCTAATGGATAAATACTGATTCCATTTCTTCTATAGGCAAGATGCTCTCAAACACTACTCAAAGCTACACCAAAGGGGCCTGTCAGAGCAGTCTGACTTAAGTGGGTCACTTAGGGATCTTGACTGAGATACAGCTAAAGGATGAGCCACCTTGGAGAAAACAGTTGAGATGAAATCATTAAAAAAAGTTTAACATTAAAAAGGTGCACCTGAATATTACAGACTAACTTTACAAAACCTACAATAAAATATATATTTATATCTTTTTGAATATTCAGCAGCTTTTTTGTTTATTTTTGAGAGGCTTCTGAAATTTTAGAAAGGGACAACTAACTAATTTTAACCATGCTTCACAAAACAATAATGGCTATTTTATATTGCATTTACCAAGGTAATGCAATTAGTGCTTTAAAAATAACCTACTTTTTCCTTTTGTAAAAAAACAGAGACCTTTGAGGAAATATGGTTGTTTCAAAGCTTCTGGGTGTTTTTTTGTTTAAAACCTGAATAGGAAGTGATCACAGATATTATGTGTTATATTTAAAAGCTTTGCAGACAAGAATCTTACAATCGTCAGGTCCCAGGACTTTTAATCTGAGAAAATTAAGTGTTTGGTTGTTTAATTCTTTTCCTAACCAAAACAATAAAAGTATGCAACTATCACTATCTATTTACAGTTCTCAAAGTATGGTCTGAAATGACATACAATTAGTTCTCTTTCTAAACTGCAGCATTAAAGGGTAGGCACACCATTTTTCTGCTGCACGATTGTCATCCACTTAATGATAACATAGAAAATATTTGTGTAAGTAAAATGAGCACGTCACATACACTATGATAGGGTTTTACAGAACTCAACTCATACATCACTTAAATAAAAACAGCCACAAAAGGTTAAACCTCTGAAAGTAAAAATCTATGCAAGTGTTACACTTCTAGCTTGCAGCAAACCTTCTCCCACACTTTCAATAGCAGATGAAACCACACATTTAAAAGAGTGCATTTTATTGCAATTTCCAGTGGAACTGGATTATATTGCAGAGTTTCTATACCACTATGGAGATTCAAACAGGTTTCTGAACTGGGATGACAACTAGATAGCTACAGGAACTCTGCTTTTTGAGTATGGAAATGCATTAAGCTAACAAAACAAAAAGGTCTAAGAACAGTAGTACAAAGCATATCTGGACAAAAGCCCAGTCTCTCTCAAGAATGAGAAGTGCATATTTAACATGACAGCAATGGTGTGCCTAACCTTTGCTTTCCAGCAACTCAATGTATTCAATCATCCAATCAAGAAGGCCAACTCAATTAACTGTCCCCAAATTTAAGCAGCAGCCCTGGGGCTATCTAGGCCTTTCTTCCCATGAATCTTAGCATTTACTTTCAGTCATTAACATAAGATACCAAAACAAGAAGAGTGCTCAATGTCATCTCACATACCAGTTCCACTGCCTCATTTGGTTGTGCAAAGCAGGAGAGTGGTGTTCTATCAGTCATTTGCAGAGGTAAGATCAAAACATCTCTCTAACCTGAAGAACCAGTGAGTATGATTTAGTGAAGCTGCAAGTCCAGAAAGCTTTATTAAAGCTTAAAACAAAAGAATGATCAGATGCCATGGTAACTAAAAAAGGACTTAGGAGTGCTAGTGGTGTCTCCTACATGAATGTGAGCTAACTATTAAATCAACAATGGATAAAAGAAAACAAAAAAAAATCAAAATATGCAAGAACATTTCCTGCTACTGGCAACTTCAGTATTTAAAAAGGAAACACCCATTGGGTGTTCAACCCTGACAGTGTTATGCTCAGCCTAAGCCAGATCAGAATGGCCTGATCGTGGATTTTACTAAGATTCGTAAAAATTTCTTCCCTGAACATTAATATAGATCCTTCATTTACATGACTAGTTAGGCAAGCTATTGAGGTTGTAATGTTTAGAGATTAGTGGGTTATATGAGGATTTTGACTGTTTTTGTCCAAAAGTACAGTAAGCCGTTATATATATTCCTGAACCACCACCACCACCACCACCCCGAAGAGGTTTTTTAAAAAAGCTGTTGGAAATGCACTGTTTAGCAAACTCTGAATTCAGTCTGTTGAAAGTATGTAGGTTGTAAAAGAAAAGCTGTATTTTGTTAAAGTGAGGAATACCCCAGTATATAATTCAGTGTACCCTGATGCTCCTGAATACAAGGAGTTTGTTGAGATAAGGCTACATCCTCAAGCAGGTGAGTTCAACTCTCACCTTCATAAAAAAAAGCAAACAATTACAGTGAAGGTAGTGTTCCAAAGAAATTAACCCAATCATTCTGAAGGTAGTGTATGTAAAGCTCCCCCATCCCATTCCCACCCACCCCGCCGGGTGAGCACTAAGCAGACTGCAAATAATAAAGTAGCTGAATGTAAAACAAAATTATTCCAATTAGACTGAACTGACTAAACCTCAACCACCAATCTCTAAATTCAAAACCAGCTACTATTTTCAAGAGGTTTAAGCTTTCTTTCAAGCCAACTGGATCCAAGAATAATATTGTGAAAAACTTGTTATAAAGCAAAGATCCAGTTCTTGTTTTAAAAGTCTGGTTCTAGAGTTCAAGAGAGTGATTTTTTTTTAAATAAAAGGCCATGTGAAAAAAGCAAACCCCATAAAATAACTGAAAGTCCATGCAGGCTCAAGAGGCAAGCAGTCCACTTCCATGTCTGCATTTTTGTGAGGTAACTCAATTCTCTATAAAATATTAGAGAAACATGCAAAGGCCAAAAACAAAAACAGAACAGAACACAAAAAAGGGCTCTAAGCCATTTTGGGCCAGAAAATTTACAAATATGCAACATTCAGAGCACCCTTTCCCCTGTGTCCACGTAAGTCTCTGCTGAACTGCAAAGGAGCATGTCCTGCACCCAGTGACTGAAGAGGAATCAGGTACATAAAGTGGGAGTTGAACAATGCCATAGTGCTCACCCAGTTTATTATGTAATTGGCACTCTAACAACATCCCTAATCATCCTTTGACTCATTTGCACTCTGTGCTGCCTCTCCCTGGGGTTCTATCTCAAGCTTTACAGAGACATCCTGTCCCTCCGACCGCATTAATTTCATTTTTTTCTTTGGAGGGTTTTTCAAAGTGCCCAGCCTCTCTTTCACTTTATACTCCAGGGTGCTATGGGGAATCCCATAAATACTTTGAGCTTTGGAAACGCTCATTTTCCCACTCATCACCACAGAAATTGCTTCCTCCAATATTTCACTGTTGTACTGTCTGTATCTGCCTCTTTTTTTCCGAGGTTGCTTAGAGCCAGGATCTCCCTCCTGATCAGAGGTGGGATATGGCTGTCCAGAGGTAGATTGCTCAGCATCTGAGCCCCAGGAATCTGGTCCAGGATCCAGCAAGCTCCTTCTGTTTTGTTTCGGAAGGATAGCCCTTAACTTTTTACTAAGCGCGCTCTCCGTTTGTGAACCCATCACCAAAGAGCCGTAGCTATACTGGTCACCAGAACGGGACTCCCACGAAAGGTCCATGCCTCGAACTTGTGGTATCTTTAAATCCACAGGAGTTGAATGGCTCATGTCCTTTTTCACATCCTGTTTAGTTTGAAGTGCCATTTTTTGAAAGGCTGAGTTTTCTGTAAGAAAAGGAAGGTCACTGATGTTGCTGAGTGCACCATTTCCCCTGAATTTCATTCGGGTGAAGTTGAATTCGTAGTGTGGTTTTGCCCAAGAAGCCTCCCTGGAAAGTATCATGTGCTGTCCGTGATTCTGCAACCCAGATGGCCCGTGGCTGGCAGCTGTAGCATGCTGGTTTCTGCTCAGCAGTTCTTCGCTTATCTGCAGTGATCGAGCCAATGGAACTTTGAGAGATGTGGAGTGGCCAGACCCTTCCCTCGTTCCATCCTGCCAACTTCTCGAGGGCACCCCATCACCACTCCGAAGTCCCTCTGCATGGTGCTGGCTGGGTCTCCCAGGTCGCCTAATTGGATGGAAGGAAACTGATGTGAGCAGGACTTGCACAGGTAGGGAGGAATGGGTGAGGCGGCCACTCCTTTATTAGAAGGCCTTGCTTGGGTAACATCACTTTTGTGGGCTTTTTTACTTTTTATTTTTTTATGTTTTATGTTTTAAAGTCTCAGCAGTCAGTTTTTAAAAACTTGTTCAAAAACAAAGAGAAGCTTTTTGGGCAAAGAAAAATGAAACCTGTCAGCTGGTCTTTGGTTGGGTTCACAAAATCGTGGAGCAGAAAAGGCTTCGCGCAAGTGTCTGAAAATACCATCTTAATTATAGATTAGAAAGGAATAATCATTTGCCAGTTTATTCACAACTGTATTACTAGTGTGACGTTACCACTAAACAAGTACAGTAATAAAAGAGTAAGCCAAGTGACAAAATGCAGCAAATTCAACACACTCACACACATCAGCCACCTGCACTTTTTATTAAAAGGTGAAAATTCTGGAAGGATTCACACTATATTTGCTAGTTACCAGTCAGGACCAAAAGTGCTCAAAAGAATTCAAAGATGTTTGCTTACATTATATTAAACCGCAGTACTGGGGGGATGTCACTCAACAATGCTGTGTAAATCAATACTTTATTTCCTTTTGACATGAATTATCCTAACTATCAGTGTTATCAGTTCTATGTCCTACATCAAGATAGGAAAACTAGTATTTTCTTTTATTAGAACAAGTATTTGTTATCCTGTCTGCTTTCTAACTTTACTGATTAAACAGCTCAGAAGCAAATCTAATTTTAAAGCTATCTAAAGTCTAATTAGACAATCAAAATGTGTTTTACACATATATCTATTTTAATTCTTATAAATAATTTGAATAAAAGCATGTAATATATTCCTGGCATTTTGCATATTAAGATAATTATTTTGTAAAGTGCTTCTATCATGAAGACAATTTCTACATTAAAAAAAACTGTGTCCACAGAATAGTGAAAAGATAATGCTACGCTGAAATTCAGGGTTTCTAATCCTTTAGCAAATACATATTAATTACTACATTCAGATTTTGAAACTTCTTAATTTGATAACATGCTCCATGTGGATTCTAAACAAAGCCCATCACAACCTCAGGGAGAAAACTTAATCTCTAATAGACTTTAAAGCATATACTGTATTTCAACTATCTATAAGAGAGAACAACACTCCACCATAAGAATTAACTGGCACTTTGCTCAGCAGAGGGCAATCATTAACTGGTAGAAGCTTAACAGTACAAAGCAGAAACAAAGACACATAGTACTGTTACACACCTCTTAGAGCCACCTCTTCTATTTAAGACTTAGCAAAACATGCTGATCTCTTGAATAAGACCTTCAGCAATCCACAGGGAAACATTTTTTAAATGAAAACTCACAGAACATTCAGAAAAGAAACAAGTACAAAAATTGATCCCCACCCCCCTTTCACAGAATCTTTCTTAAGTTTTAAAAGGATTATAGAGTTAAGGGGCCCATTTAATTAATGGGAACAAATAAAGGCTTTTTTAAGCAGAAATCAAACTTTTTAAAATAATGTGATTAACATATAAATTCTGTCATGTAATATTCTTAAGTAAAATTGGCAGAAACTTTTAAAATACTACTTTATGACCCTTACATTGCCATCCCAAGTTCTCTGCTAGGTGATTTCTCTCAACTAGCACATGCAACTAAACATACAGGGTTGATCAGATCAGAGGTTTTTTCCTAAAAGAAATCTGTATGCAGGAACTCTTTACTAGTACAATAGAACAGTGTCAGTAATGTTTGAACTATTCAGTGCAAGTATTCCTCTTGAAAACATTTCCATGGTAGATAATTATAAATTTGCCATAAATCTAATGACCCTTAATAAACAAATAAAATCACAATACTGTGTTATAATAGTTTACCTTTAAAAAAAACTCCAACAACATCTAAGAAAATTGTGTAACTTCTTACCAACTAGCGTGTTTGCTTAATTGTCTTGTCCCATATACTCTGATCACCAAATGAAATATGGCTATTTGCTAAAGAGTTCAAACTAGAGGCTACAGTCCTCTTGTTCTACTGAAGACACACTTAGCAGCCCCCATATGCATGGGATTCAGAGAACCTCAAAGTTAATCAGATACAGTAAGCACAGACACAGTCTGGCAGGTACTGAGGACTAAAAAGACTCAGAAACTGCAACTGTGATGGACTCCCTTTACAAGCTGCCATAATCATACGAACTGTAGGAGTCATCAGTAAGGCTTCATATGGAAAAACCACCAGTGGCCACAAATGCTTCCACAGCCAATGGTGAGCATCCAAACTTGGCTCAAACTCATATTTTAAAGGCTAAAATAGTACATCTCTCTACATCTCAATGTACTGGCTACATAATCAAAGTATTTCTAACATGGAACTGTATTTTCACACTTGCCTATATATTTAAAAATTGGAAAGAAGGTATTTTCTACAAGATTTTATACTCTGAAGGGTTAAAACACATCTGTGGAAGTTGTGAGGAAGCATCTGATCCACAGTTATACAAACAACCATTAGATCTGAGCAAAAAGACTAAGAATTTCCCTTACCCATTCCCAGGAGCAGTGGAGCAGCCAGGTGAATGGCTCAAGGAGGCGCTGCCTGCACAAGGGCTTTTCTTAGTGGACAGATCAAGCACTCCGTCTGTAGAGACATGAGAATCACTTGAGAACAAGAAGGAATAGGTAAAACCAAACACACACATTAAGTATGTTTTTATGCTGGAAACATGCTCCAAAGTAATCTTGGCTTGCTTTAACGCCTAATCTTGGCAATCAAATCAAATCCACTTAGTACGTCAACCACATTTTTTTAAAACTTAAGGAAAATGAAGGCATATTAAAACATCATCAAAAATGGAATTAAAACTGCAATATTTTTTTCCAGAAAAGGCCAAGAACTTTACAATTATAAAAGAATAAGTCAACAATGTTAACCATGCAAGTTCAAAGGCAGTAGGCTACATCCCAGAAAATAATGATTAGATGCAAAACAAAAGAGTAGGTAACTCACAAAATAAATTTTCTATTAATTTTAGGAAGATGCTTGGCCTTTCTTAACCATTATAAGCATTCAAGCAGTTCAAAATTACTCATTCCAGACATCTTTCCAGGACAGAAACAGCCTTAGCTGTCCTGTTGTACAACTTATATGGAGAATGGATGCAGGAATGTAATTCTGCTAGTTCTTATGGATTTCTCTTTAGTTCTCTTTAGATACCATTGGCTATGGTTTCTTTCTGCATCACCTAGCTGGATCATAGAAAAATGAGTTAACAAAGATGTCATTCTTAACTAACATGTCAGATCTCAGAAGGGGATGCTGGGGGACCTGTTATAGTTCAGCCTTGATACTGTAACATGCTCTGTGTGAACCTATCTTAAGGCAATCTGGAAAATACAGCTGGTACTGAATATGGTTACTCATGTCTTTGTAGTGCTAGAAGGTCAGATCACATTATCCCAATCCGGCACCAGCTACACTGATTGTAGCTACACTTTAAATTTCAGGTAAATTTAAAGTGCACTGGTTTACTTTCAAATCCTAAATGCTTTAAATCTCAGTTACCTGAATGAACACCTACACCAGTGGTTCCCAACCTTGGGTAACCAAGTATTCTTGGATTGCAACACCTAGAAACCCCAGCCAGCACAGCTAGTGGTTAAGGTTTCTGGAACTTACAATCCAAGAACACATGGGTGACCCAATATTGAGAACCACTAACCTACACCCATATGGACCAACTTACCTTTTCAGATAATCTTTTATTGAGATCATATGGTGAATCAAAGCTAGAGGCTGGCCCTTTGAGGGGAGGTCTTGATATTATACAATCATCTCAAAGATCCTATACAACTAGCACCCTGTGTGACTGATCTGAATATGGATTTTAAAATGTGCTGCTTCTTACTGCTTTGTAACTAAATTTTACTATGGCAGATATTTTACAACTGTATTGTTCTTTTATATAAATTGTTTATACTGCTTCATTAATACATACACAGTATTTTTAATGTTAAAAGACAACTAGGGAATACTAATTTTGGGGTAGTAAAATAGGGCTTTGAAGAAGATAAGATCAATCAATCACTAGTTAAAGCAAGCCTACATCAAAATAACATGATTAGAGCCCTGCTGGATCAGGCCATGGGCCCATCTAGTCCAGCTTCCAGTATCTCACTGTGGCCCAACCAGATGCCTGTGGGAGCACAGTGGCCCCACCAGATGACTGTGGGAACACACAAGACAACTAGATACCTGTCTCCTGATATCCCTCCCCTGCATCTGGCATGTTGAGGTACCTTCCTTTTAAGCCTACAGATTATTCATCCCTATCATGGCTTGTAACCTGCAATGGACATTTCCTCCAGAAATCTGTCCATTCCCCCTTTTAAAGGCATCTAGGCCAAATGTGATCACCACATCATGTGGCAAGGAGTTCCACAGACTTAACAACACTGGGTAAAGAAATATTTTCTTTTGTCTGCTCTCACTCTCCCAACACTCAATTTGAGTGGACGTCCCCTGGTTCTGGTATTGCATGAGAGGGAAAAGAGCTTCCTTCTATCCACTTTATCCATCCCCCTGCATAATTTTATATGTCTCAATCATGTCCCCTCTCAGAACCTTTTCTCTAGAGCCCCAAACGCTGTAGCCTTTCCTCAGAAGGGAGGTGCCCCAGCTCAGTCATCATTTTAGTCGCTCTCTTCTGCACCTTTTCCAGTTCAACTATGTCTTTTTTGAGGTGCGGCGACCAGAACTGTATGCAATACAGGCCTCACCAGCATTTTGTACAATGGCATGTTTTATTTTCCGTCTCCTTTTAATGATACCTAGCATGAAAGTAGCCTTCTTCACTGCCGCCACAAACTGGGTTGACACTTTCATTGAACTATCCACCAGCACACAAAGATCTCTTTCCTGATCCCTCACAGACAGCTCAGAACCCATTAACTGATAACTAAAGTTTTGATTTTTCACTCCAGTGTGCATTACTTTACATTTTCTTATATTGAAACACATTTGTCATTTTGCCACCTGTTCTTCCAGTTTGGAGAGATCCTTCTGGAGCTCTTCACAATCCCTTCTGGTCTTAACCACCTGGAAAAGTTTTGTGTATTCTGCAAACTTGGCAACCTCACTGCTTATCCTTGTCTCCAGGTCATTTATGAATAGGTTGAAAAGCACCAGTCCCAGGACAGATCCCTGGAGCATACCGCTTTTTACCTCTCTCCACTGTGAAAATTGCCCACTGACACCTACTCTCTGTTTCTTGGTTCTCAATCAATTCTCAATCCATAAGAAGACCCGCCACCCCTAGCGGCAAAGTGCTGCTTTCAAAGGCTTCCCTGGGGTAGAGGAAAAGCACAATTTTTTAATTTCCAGCTCATTTTCCTGCCTTTTTCGGTGCTGGGCAAGCCCGGGGAAGCCTCTAAGACCAATCAGCTGTGAGGCAGGGGAGGTGCCGGAGCGGAGAAGAGCACAAAATGGCTGCCGCCTCCCTGCTGGGTGCCAGCTCTCAGCTGTTTGGTGCTCTTTTTCCGGCTTTTCGGGGGCTACCAAGACACTGTGAGGAGCCGAGCGCAGTCTAGAGTACCTGGTGACTTTATTTTCATTTTTTTTGTTTCTGACTCCCCCCCCATTAATTAAATTTCAATGCATTCCTATGGGAAAATGCGCTTCACAAGACGAAAATTTTCGCTAGATGGCATTAACCGTGAAATGGATTAATTTTGTCTTGTGAGGCACCACTGTAGTATCAGCTTTATAAGCAAGGCATGTGCCCTGCATTCCTTGCCTTCAAGTCACAGTTTGGGGACATTGCATTTTAAAAGAAACTACGTCCTTCATTACGTCTTGCAGCCAAGTCATTATCATTTCTCCATTCATGCAAGTAATTTGTTGTGCTGCACATAAGTAATTCAGAAAAATCCAGGGAAATTATCTTATTCCCTCTAGTGGCCAATTCTTTTTTTATTTACTCTTTTATTTATTATTTATCAACTAAGAACAAGGTGGGAAATACAAAGGGTAAAAGGAAGTAGGGGGAAACTGTTGTTTAAGAGCCTCGGGGCGCAGTGGTTAAACCGCTGTACTGCAGCCAAAACTGTGCTCACGACCTGGGGTTCAATCCCAGGTAGCCGGCTCAAGGTTGACTCAGCCTTCTATCCTTCCAATGTCGGTAAAATGAGTACCCAGCTCGCTGGGGGGGCAATGTGTAGCCTGCATAATTAACTTGTAAACCACCCAGAGAGTGCTTGAAGCACTATGGGGCGGTTATATAAGCAGCACGCTTTGCTTTTGCTTTGCTTTAACATCTAATGTCATCTCTTTCATCTGATCTATTATTTGGCTAAGACATTCATTTACTTGCTGAAATCCGGCTGTTATTATATTTTGCATGGTAGTCTGCTATTCTTTGTCTGATTTTTGTGTATTGGCCAATTCTTATACTGCACCATGGAAATCTTGATGTAAATAGAGAAGGCAAAAACCCTTGCCATGTAGATTTCAATATGCTTTAAAAAACCCTTCAAAACTAACTTTTTTAAGTAATTCGGTTTTATTTGTTATACCTAAAAAGTAGGTATGTACCTACTGATTATGTCATTCCCTAAAAGTAACTAGTTATAGATTACTGATACCCTGTTTCCCTGAAAATAAGACCGAACCTGAAACCCTAGTAGAATTTTTCAGGACGCTCGTAATATAAGCCCTACCGCCAAAATAAGCCCTAGTTAAGTGAAACCCTGTCCTCCACCATTGTGCAGCAACCAGAAGATGACATGACTGCATTTGAATAAATGTAGATTGTTGTACATGAAAAAAATAAAACATCCCCTGAAAATAAGACCTAATGCATTTTTGGAGCAAAAATTAATATAAGACCCTGTCTTATTTTCAGGGAAACAGGGTATGTGTATCTAGTTTCTTCCACACTCTGAAAATAGGAAGTAGGGCTACTAAAACAAGTGGGACCAGACACTGATTACTTATTTTCTTACACTACAGGGCAACTTGTAAACATTAGAAATATTTAAGGCTAGCAATAGAAATAATTGAACATGAATCAACATGATTTAAGACAGAGGTCAAATCCATGTTGCAGTAAAATTTAGTATTCTACAACAGGAAAGAACAACTCACTAACTTTGAGTGTGAAACCCAAACCTATCTAAATACATGTCTCTGGCTTCCCATACCCTCTCATTTCCCCCTCCCTTTTTTTTCAAATTTCCAAAAACATTTTTGGAATATGAGGACAAGATAATTGCCTCCCTCAGCCCCAAAAGGCACACAGGGAATTTTTGCACCAAATATTTTTAAAACAAATGATTTTAGCTGGGATATATGGGAAAAGACACATTTTTAGTGGATTAAATTTTTGGTTCCACCTTCAAAGTCAGTGAGACATTTGAAAGAATTCTAGGCCTAGCTATGCACAAAGGACTCTACCCAACTGTTTGGAAAGATGCATATGTTTAGCTTAGACACTTGTAAGGCAAGTAGAGGAAATGTTACATTTTCAAGCACTGAAATTGATGCAAACAAGTAACAGGTTACTCACCTGTAACTGTAGTTCTTCAGTGGTCATCTCTGAATTTACACTAATGGATAGTTCTGAACCTGTGCAAAATTCCTCA